TTTATGATACTTTCGAACACCAAATTTTGACTCATCTATCTCTACAATCACATCTTTACCACCGATAGCACTCTCCTTATCTTCAAGTGTACTAACCACCAATTCACGAAACAATTGCATATATCTTGTGATTGTATTTGGAGAATGACCAGTAATCTTTGAAATAATCGTATGATCAGTTCCACATAATCAATAATAACCAATAAGCATTGCATTTAAACAACTAATACGACCACCTGAAAAGAATGAATTTTTGTATATCGATACAGATCCATGACACTCATGATCATTGCATCTAAACCGTTTTCCATCTAAATGAACTGCAGAATCACATTTCAAACAAGATTGAACCTTATATAAAATTTCTGATATGGTTGTTAAGATTGGGATTGACATTTTTTTAAACATCGAAAAAATGCATAGTCACATCTCTTACATTTATAGATCTTTTCTTAGATCACGTGTATCAATCATGGTTCTACAACCACATGAACATCGATACTTTGTATAATAATTTGGAACTTTTGCCTCACAATGAAGCATCATAATTATAAAAATTACAAAAATAATAATCGATCGCATTTTTTATTGAAAGAAGAAAATAAAACATATCTATTTATACAGGAATGAGAACTCCGTTTAACAATTGTTGAATTATATGTATCAATCTTGATACCCTAGCCACTAAAGCAAAAACTACGATAAAAATTGAAAAATTTTCAGAGATAATCCTCTTGTTATCATCAAGTATATGTTTAACGAATCGATCAGAATACATATCAATCAATTCGCTAACTTCGATAACCAATTTCTCGATTTCCTCATCCGTTGGTTTCTTTCTAAATCTATTAAACACCACAGAATTGCTAAATGACATATAAATACCAAGATTTTTTCCCATGTCTTTCTTGAATTGAAGAGGATTCGTTTCAAAATGCCATACAATATGATCTAGTATATCTTTAGGTAAAAAATCTTTTTCACAAGGTATGCAACTAATATAACTAACTTCTGATTTACTCTCAAACTTGAACTCATTTGTATCTTCTATAGATGCAGGTAATAACAGTAATAAATCTTTGTTTAAACTCTCTTCATTATTATTATTATCATCATTGTGATCATTGTAACCATTATCATGATCGTTATCACCATTTTCAATATTAATAGCATGATCGCTATTATTATTATTGTTGTCATCTCCATTATTCCTGTTCAGATCTTGGTCTACATGAAAACGTCTGTTAAAAAATTAATCAACAAATTCAAAAAAAAAACATATATCATTAATTCTCACTTTTTATTCTCAGTAATACCATCATCACCATCATCATAATTATCTCTGTTTCTTTTGAGCGAATCAATATCATCTCTTATACTTTTAACCATCGTATACATAGCATTCATTGTGGATGCTATAGCTTGAGGATTTGTACTGTTTAAATCAATATATCTAATCACAGTGATAGTCTCCAATACTATGCCAGGTGGACCTCTCAAGTAACTATCAGTATCACATTTATAACCAATAGAATACCTTTGAATTTCATCTGAATAATTTTTGTATCTCAAAATTCTATATGTTTCATAGAGATTATTGACTTGAATATAATAATAAAATCCGGTGTTAAATTTAATATATTGATTTTTTAGAGCTGTACTGGTTTGAGTTACACACCATTCTTTATCAATATTCCATAAATCACAAATATATATTTCCTAATCGCAATCCATGCATGGAATCTCATGAATCTTATCATACACCACAAAATAATTTTTTCTTATCGGACTATATACTA